TGGATGTTTTCTTCCAAATATCAACCTACCTAAGCTGTTTTTAGGGGGACCCCTTCGACCAGCTCCACCTCCATGAGCTCATCCTGGGAATCTAAGCTCAACTCCCGTCGTCTACCCTGATGCGAGGATTCGAGGGGATCCTCCGGCTTCCTCTTCTTATTCAACGCCTCAGCAGTCTTCAATGTTACTTTGTAACAACAGCGCGACTGCAACTGATCTCCCACTACCTCTCCGAATTTGTCTCCTACAGGGAACTTGATTTTCATACACCACGTTGAGACAGCACTTTGGAATGCGTTCAGGCTCGGGCGTCCCAGAATGATATTGTACGCCGAGCTGGCATCGACGACCAGAAATTTGACCATTTTCACCTTTCTTGTGGGAGCTCGTCCTAAGGCTACTGTTAGGTTCACCTCCCCCATGGTTCGAACCTCACTACCATTAAAACGGTATAGGGCAGTGTGCACCGGTTCCATTTTTACCTCCACTCCATATGCTGCAAACATTTCCAGAAAATGATATCCGCTGAACTCCCAATATCTATCAGAACCCCCTCTGCACATCGTAACTAGCCACCTCAGCCGTAATAACCAAAGCGTCATTATGGGGAACCATGACCCCCTGTACATTGCTCACGCTGAAGTTCAAGGTAACCAAACTTGTTTGTACCTTGACCTCAGCCACCTCGTCCACCATGCTCTTTCCTAGATATGTTCTTTTCCTCTCCCTGTGTGAGTCACCATCCGTAGGACCTCCTGCTATCACATGAATCACCCCTTTTTTCACTGGTCTATCTGGCTGTTCTTCTGTTCTCCGGCATTTGTCACCTGGCTCACGCCCCTCTGGGCGTTCGTCGCGACGTTCTTTGTCCTTTATCACGAACTCCTTCAGGTGCCCAGCTCTAATAAGCCGCTCAATCTCGTCTTTCAGCTCACGACAGAAATTGGTAGAATGACCGTAATCGCGGTGGTATCGGCAATACCTATCCGTTCCTGCTGAGAATTTCTGCGGTGGAGGCAATGGCTTGGGCGGTGCTAACAACTTAGTCTCTCCTCGTTGCTCCATCACTTCAAGAATTTCCTGCTGGGGAGCTTTAAATGGTTTGTAGTGTTCATACCTAGGCCCCTTAAATCGATCGTCCGCTCTGACCTCCTTCTGGAGAGCTCGTCGTTCATTTTGACGGGTCCTCTCATCCGCCGGCTTCACTTTTACCTTATCATTCTATGTAAAGTCTGCTTCCGCCTCCTCCATATTAACATACTTGCTGCATCTCTCCAAAAGCTCGTCAAACGACCTAGTCGGCCGTTTAGCCAACGAATCTCGACACTTCCCTGGCCGTAAACCCCTAGTGAGCCCTCCAGCTTTGATTTCCTCTGTTGTAGTAGGGACTTCCACACATTCTTTTGTATAACGCGCCACGTACTGTCGCAAAGATTCACCCTCCTTTTGTTGCATGCTAATCAACGACAAATACGTTTTCTCATGTTTCTTGGCACTAGCGAACTGGTACAAAAAGAGAGAGCTGAATTTTTCGAAGCTGTCGATGGATCCAGGAGGCAACTGATGAAACCAATCCTGCACCGACCCTTTTAAGGTCGTCAGGAAAGCCCTACAACTCACTGCATCGCTATACCTGTGCAACACAACTATGTTGCCAAACGACCTCAAGTGCCTTGCGGGGTCTGCAGATCCGTCATAGGATAAGCTCAATTCTCTGAAATTATGCGGCAGGTCACCTCTCAGTACTTCTTCTGTAAAAGGATGCCCACGAGATACTATGGGCCTTCTCTCTTGCATCTGTGCTTGTAACTTTCGCATCTGGGAAGCCAACCTCTCCAAAGTTGATCCTTCCTGCTGCGCCGCTGCGACAGGCCGAGAGGTTGCCGACTTATCCTCATCTTCGTCACCCTCTCTCGACGCTGGGCCTGGTGCGCGGCGGCAGTAACTGCTGCTGTAGTACGGACTTCCAGATCGGTTCATTGGGAGCCCCTCTATCGACAACCTGAGCTCGTCCGATTGCCTCGACAATAATCCTATCCAGCTCCGCTCTGGTCATATGCAACATCTGGTGCCCTCCTGCCGCAGGGGGGTTATTTTCTGGAGGATTGTTTACTCTTGTCGCGACCATTTGCCTATTGTCCAATGAACCCGTCGGTCCACCCCCACTTCCAGATCACCGACGACCTGATTAACCACCACTGTAGTGGGACTGCCGAGCTCACCCTCAATCCCTGTCTGACCTTCCTTTTCTCCTGGGGCTACTAACTGCCCTTAAGTATCTTTTACCGGTGTCGAGGTGATACCAGGTGCCGGTAAGGTTTCATTGGGCGTAACAATCGTCTTTGACCACCCCGGCGGGGGTCCATCTCCAAACGCCCTTCGCGTCCATGCTTCGTCCATATCTTTTATCAGATTCTTCTTTAAATTGTCATCAGTCATGGTGAATGTTGGTGAGAAAAATCAGCCTCTTATCTCAAGTTGTAGAAACTGAATTTATCCCCACAGACGGTGCCAATTTGATACGTCAAATTGCCCCGAACCGCTGGACCGCCTCTCCTGAATCGGTTCGCCTTTCTTGGATTGCTGGTAACCTGCAAAACACGTTGGGGTTGATCCCGGCGCGAACACTCTGACGCCCAAGTCAATGAAGAATTCAGAAAAGGTAGCAGATATATAAGACAATGCATATTTCGTATCTGTTGTATGTGTTGTGTGTAAAAAAAACATGTTCTCTCTTTTATAGTTGAAGAACCATGACCTAAGAAGACTCCCACTGCCAATAGAGTTCTTCTTCCGCCCGCCTCTTGACAATGCTAATCTCAACAAAGAGAAAGACTTCAAGACCTACACGTCAGTGACAGATCGCTAGATGAGCTCGACCAACGCCGAGCTTTCCACCAGCTTTTCTACACCAGCTCGGCTGCGCCTAGCTCTCGACATTCAGATTGCATCTCACACTTAAGATCATCCACGCTTGCTCCACCTTGTCCAGCTCATCCTTTTCAAGGTTGCTTAGCTCAAAATCCTACCTCTGCCATACGCGAGCGGCCGAGCTCAAAGAACCTTCCTTACCATTATGCTTTTCCATCATCGGTCCAATATCTGCCGAGCTCATTCTCAACTCGGTTTGCAGGACCACTTAACCGAGCCACAAATATGTTATATCAAGAGCCTTGTGTTCGTGTGTTTTGTTTTTGTTGTTGGTGTTGTCTTTTACTTT